GGCACGGTGATGCGCTCGCTGGGCCAGAACCCGACGGAGGCGGAGCTGCAGGACATGATCAACGAGGTGGACCAGGACGGCAGTGGCACCATCGACTTCCCCGAGTTCCTCACGCTCATGGCGCGCAAGATGCAGGACTCAGACTCGGAGGAGGAGATCAAGGAGGCGTTCCGCGTGTTCGACAAGGACGGCAACGGCTTCATCTCCGCCGCCGAGCTGCGCCACGTCATGACGAACCTCGGCGAGAAGCTGACGGACGAGGAGGTGGACGAGATGATCCGCGAGGCGGACGTGGACGGCGACGGCCAGATCAACTACGAGGAGTTCGTCAAGATGATGATGAGCAAGTGAGCGCGGTGCGGCGGCCCTGCGGGGGAAGGCGTTCAGCCAACATCCGCGGCGAAGCGGGAAAAGAGGCGCCACCGGGCGGCTGACGATCACAGGAATAGATATCTTGTCTGGGATGTATTTATTGTTTGTATGTCGATTATTCTATTTTTTTTTTTTATCTTTTGCCGTATTTTACCTCGTGCGTCCCTCGCTCGTGTCAATGCGTCTGTGGCCCCGCTCCCCCTCTTTGTGCTTCTTTGCAGGCTCATTCCCTCTCTGTATCCGCCGTTCAATACATTTTTTGCTTGTTTTTTTGTCTCTCGTCTCTCTCTGTTTACGTGTGTGCGATGGTGCTGCACTCACATGCCTGTCGGTGCCTCCATCGTGAGCTGCCGGTAGGCGGGGAGGAGAACGGAGGGGCGGGCGGTGCGCGAGAGGGAGCGAGAGCGAAGGGGCGGGCAAGGGGCGCAGGTGCGTGTGTCGCAGGAGCGGAGGATCACCCGGCGGCGGAAAAGCAAACACGCGGGGATGAACGTAATCGGTAGCAGTTTGAGGGGGAAGAAGAAAGAGAAAAGAAAAAAAAGGGAGGGGTGGAAAGGAGCGGTGGACCGAGGGAATAAAGCTAGGAGACGTCAAAGATGCAGGCCTGTCTTGAGAGAGTGAGGGTGTGTATTTGTGCGAAAAATAGGGCGTTCTTTCACGCGTCTTTCGATATATCCCGCGCTTTTTTTTTCTTGGGGGTGCGGCGGAAAAGGTAATGGACATTCGCGCCATGCCTGCTCTTATTGCGATTCTCTACCACATATAATATACACGTGTATATGTATGCTTCTTCACCACTCTGATGTGTGCTTGTGTGTGTGCGCGTGCATGCTTTGATGTATCATCGAAATCCACCCCGTGTGTTGCTGTTCAGCTCTGTGCTTGGACCTCTTTCTCGCTTTGCCGCCGTGGCAATATTGCCGTTGCTCGATTCTGCTGTTTTTCTTGTTTGTTTGTTTGTTTTTCTTTCCTGCCGCTGGTGCTGGCGCTGGAGGTGGTAAAGACATTTGTGTTGTTTCCGGCGCGGCGGCTTGTTTTTCCCGTTTGGGCGTCTGCGTAGTTGTTGCCGTTGCGCAGGCATCGGGTGGGTTGCGGACGGCAAACGCGTGGTGGCTGCAGATGGAGCCGCGTGGCCCGGCGGGGGCGCAGTTCCCCGCAAAGGCTGAGGCCAAGGCGCCCTCTTGGCCGCGGCACAACAGCCCGCAGAGCCCTACCATGTGCACGGCGCGCGATAGTCGTGCCATGAACCGCCCCCTCTACCGCGGCCCCCTCTCACACAACGTCATTTCAGAGCTGGCGGAGGGCTTTCGTCAGTTGGGCGGCGGCCAGAAAAAGCACTTCATTCCGGCGCAGCTCATCCTTGAGACCATGAAGAACGTTGGCATGCATCTTTCAGCAGACGAGTTCCAGGATGTGCTTCGGGTGGTGGGGCAGAGCGAGCCGCAGAACGCGGATGAGCTGAGTTTCAGCGACTTCCTCCTGCTGATGACGCGGGAGGTGGAAGAAACGATGGCGGAGGAGCTGCGCTCCGCCTTCCACCACTACGACAAGCAGCGCACCGGCTTCGTCACGCGGAAGCAGTTCACCGAGCTGTTTGCCACCCTTGGCGAGCGGTCGCCGCCGGAGGAGCTGGAGGAGCTTCTCTCCCTTGCCGAGGTGGACGAGGTGGAGGAAAAAATCGACTACAGCCGATTTGTGAGAGAGTTGGCCTCCCGTGTAAACAACATGTAGGAGAGGAGTGACAGCAAAGAAGGGGGAGGACAAGACAGTAGGGAACGGTGTGGGCGTCGCGCGTCGCTGTGGGACCACGCTTCTGTGGCACCTCCCTCCCTGAAAGTCGTGCAAGCGTCTATCGAAGGGGCGTGCATGTAGTAATATATATATATATATTATTCATATTTATATTTATATTTGTGTGTTTATGGAAGTACTCTCTCTCTCTCTCTCTGTGTGTGTGCGTGTGTGTGTGTGTGGAGGCTTCTTTGAAGCGGTGGCGATATTGCGGTGCCATTGACGCAGTTTTTTTTGCTTTCTTTTGCGTTCTTCGACGGATCGACACGCGCAGAGACGGACACGGTTGATGTGTCGATCGAAGAAAAACAAAGCCAAAAAAGACTCTTCGCTGACTGAGGGGAAGACTCCCTGGAATTTTCATCGCGCCTCTGCCCCTTTTCTTTTTTTTCTTTTTTTGCCTTGTGTTTCCGTTTGCCCCCGCCGCGCCGCTAGGAACGTGGCACCATGCAAATCTTCGTGAAGACGCTGACCGGCAAGACGATTGCCCTCGAGGTGGAGGCGAGCGACACGATCGAGAACGTGAAGGCGAAGATCCAGGACAAGGAGGGCATCCCGCCGGACCAGCAGCGGCTGATCTTTGCGGGGAAGCAGCTGGAGGAGGGCCGCACGCTGGCGGACTACAACATCCAGAAGGAGTCCACGCTGCATCTCGTGCTGCGCCTGCGCGGCGGCGTGATGGAGCCGACGCTGGAGGCCCTGGCGAAGAAGTACAACTGGGAGAAGAAGGTGTGCCGCCGCTGCTACGCCCGCCTGCCGGTGCGTGCGACCAACTGCCGCAAGAAGGCCTGTGGCCACTGCTCCAACCTCCGCATGAAGAAGAAGCTGCGGTAAGTCGCGAGGTTGGTGCGGCCTGACCGACGGAAAACACGCCGCCGACACCCGTTCCTTG